CGAAGGAGAACGTATTTTGGAGTTCGCTACGGCGCATGACTTGGCACTGGCAAACACATACTTCGTAAAGAAGGATAGTCATCTCATCACGTACGCCAGCGGGAATCGGAAGACACAGATAGACTTCTGGACAGTACGACAAAGTGAGCTCAAGTATGTGAAGAACATCAAGGTCATACCCGGAGAAGACTGCATACCACAACATCGACCACTAATTTTGGATCTGAATATTCCAGCCGACAAGCAAAAAAGAACAACAACAGGGCAAGTAGCACGGATCAAATGGTGGAAGCTCAAAGACAAGGACCACATCAGAGCAGCCATGGAATCTGCCCTACCAGAGTTGGAAGAAGAATCAGAAGAATGAAGTTGAAGAAGAATGTCCATCAGATAGCAAGCAGTCTACTAGGACGTACGAAGCCAGGAAGGGCAAAAATTGACAAAGAAACCTGGTGGTGGAACGAAGAAGTGCAATCCATGATCAAGAAGAAGAAGACAGCGTACAGAATGTGGCAGAAGCTGAAATCAGAAGAGGCACGGCAGAGATACTCAGACGCGAAGCGGGCAGCCAAGAAGAGTGTCAAAGAGGCAAAAGAAGCGTATATGGAGGTACTCTACAAGAAGCTGCACACTCGAGAAGGCGAACGAGACATCTACCGACTCGCGAAAACAAGATCAATTGCCACAAGAGATGTAGAGCACTTCTACAGTATCAAGGACGCACACGGGAAAATGCTCAGGAAGCCACAAGAGATAAGAGAAAGATGGAGAGCACACTTCGCCGAGACAGCGTCTACAAGCCACGAGTACACAGTGACGTCTACAGCTGGTTCCAACTATCACCGAAGGCGAAGTTCGCGCCGCAATAATGAAGACGAAGAACGGCAAGGCGACAGGCCCCGATGACATCCCCAACGAATTCTGGAGAGCATGTGGTCAAGCTGGAGTTACATGGCTAACACGACTGCTCAATCGGGTGATAGAAGCCAAGAAAATTCCGAACGACTGGTGCAGAAGCGTGACGGTACCAATATGGAAGAACAAAGGTGACGTAGCTGACTGCTCGACGTACCGCCCCATCCGACTTATGTGCCACACCCTGAAGATCTTCGAAAGAATTCTAGAAGCACGACTGCGAAACATCGTGGAGCTAGTCCCTAACCAGTGTGGATTCGTCAAAGGCCGCAGTACAACAGATGCCATCCACGCTGTCAGAATAATGATGGAAAGAAGCAGGGAAAAGCAATGCGAGCTGCACGCGGCGTTCCTGACTTGGAGAAGGCGTTCGATAAAGTGCCGCATGACATCATATGGTGGTCACTACGAAAGCACATGGTGCCGGAAGAATATGTGCGATGGATCAAGATGATATACAAAGATACCAGAAGCCACGTACAAACAGCAGCAGGGCCATCAGAAGAGTTCCAGATCAACGCCGGAGTTCATCAAGGCTCCGTACTGTCACCCCTCCTCTTCATCACGGTAGTGGATGCGATAGTTAGAGACTTCATACGGCAACCTCCGTGGGCTCTGATGTACGCAGATGATGTGATGCTGATGGCAAGAAGCAGGAACGTACTGGAGGCCGAGGTGCAGAAGTGGAAAAATGAACTTGAGCTGCACGGCTTGAAGATCAACACCAGCAAGACCGAGTACATGGAGGTGGGACCTCAAACGCCTGGAACTATAGAAATCGAAGGCGCCCTAATTAAGAAGACCACGACATTCAAGTATCTAGGAAGTCGCATCGCCGCAGATGGTACGCTTCAGGACGAAATAACCAGCAGAATAAATGCAGCTTGGTCGAAATGGAGAAGTGTCACAGGAGTCCTGTGCGATAAGAAGATGCCACTCAAGCTTAAATCCCAGCTGTATCGCACTACAGTCTGCCCGACTGCTCTGTATGGCAACGAATGTTGGCCATGCACGCGAGAAGACGAACGAAGGATTGGTGTGATGGAGACACGCATGCTAAGATGGACAGCGGGAGTCACGATGCTGGACCACGTCACTAACGACACCATACGAGCTACGATGAAGGTCGCCCCTATCGTCAAGAAGATACAAGAGAAGAGATTGCGATGGTATGGACACGTTAGATGACGAGCGGAAGATCATGTCGCTAGGTTGGTGATGTCAGTCGAAGTACCTGGAAAGAGGCCAAGAGGGAGGCCGAAATTGAGATGGATAGACAAAATGAGAGCGGACTTGAGAGAACTTGAGATAGAAGAAGATCAAGCTGAAGATCGAGAAGTCTGGAAGAGACTAACCAGGGCAGCAGACCCTCTGAGGGAAGAATGCAAGGATAAAAAAAAATCTCGTGCCGAGCCCTGATTCCGAGGTTCAAAAGCCTTTGCTGAAGGAAGCTGTGGCACTGCACGGCTTGATCGCCAAAAATAATTGCAAAGAGAATTATTCTGTTTTGTTCAATGTTGATATCATATCTAGTCGGTACCGCTGTACCAGTGGCGCACCGAGAGGGGGGGGGCGCCCCCCCCCTCCGAGAATGAGTCGCGAAAATTTTGAAAGTTACTTACGTGAGTCATAAAAATGTGCAAAAGACTTATTTACACGTGTAAGTAATTAAAATAATTTTTAAAATTTTTTAAAAATTCAATTTAGCTTTATAAAAAACTTTTTTTCGGGGGCGTGGAGTCAGCCACGCCCCCTTTTTCTAAAATTTTGGGGTTATGGGCCCGCGAAAATTTTGAGAAGCGTACCATGAATTTTTTCTGGGTGCGTGGCTGACGCCACGCACCTTCATCAGAAAAATCTTTTTGTCGCCCCCCCCCCCCCCCGAGCCGAAATCCTGGGTACGCCACTGCGCTGTACATAGTTCTTTAGTGAGAGGACGGGTTTAGATTCGCACCCAATTTTCACACATCTTCCTCTTCAAATCCTACCGCGAGCTTATAGCAGATCTCTCTAGAAACATACTCATCCATTATGTACTGTACATTATTGATCGAGTGCTGTCTGATTTCAAAAAAAAGCCTCATTCTGGGAAAACCATTGACGATTGACTAGAATTAGTCATGTGTTGAAAGCACGTGCTGTAGAATAGTAAAATTCAGCAGTGCCACTGCTCTTCTGCAAAAAATGTGAATTATAGAACTGAAATATCTGTATGGCAGTTGCGCTTTTGTACTCCCTTAAGAAAAAGCTAAAGCATTTTTGCTTGCAATAGACCTATTACTAGAGCTCGTCATAAACTCAATGCTTTGCTCCAAGGACACGATTACTTCTATACCAAAAGCTTTTCTATAGTCGCACTGCAATACACAGTTAATGACTTCCCTTGGCCATGTAATTAAGATATTAAAGTCCAAACAAAATCAATTTACATTTTTTTATAACTCAAAGCCGAGTTTCAATAAACCCATGAAGCAAAAAAAATTAAAACTAGAATAACGGGTTATACTTCTTTTTTAATCTACAGAAGGATCGGCTCATTTTTAGTTGTGTCAAAGTCTAATGCGTAAGTGCTGACCACGGAAACTTCGAAAAAATGGCATCCAGAAAAATTTGAATTGAAATTTGTCTGAGCAATTTATCGGATCATTCAGTGCCCTTCATAATTTGCTTGTTTGTAGGAAGCTACGAAGAACTTGAAATAATACATGGTGAAATGCTTCTTTGAAACTTTCACATGCCACGCATAGTATATATTTTTAATTTTGATTCCACTCGCATCCTATAAGCAAATTACGCCTATTTTACTTTTGCAATTTCTCTGTGGTTTTCATACTTATAAAGCATGCCAGCTGCGTTTTCGCATAAACGTTGTTATGCCAAAATTTGCGAGATAATAAAAGCACAATATGAACCATGTAATGAATTTTCGGAACAATGCGGAATACACTACCCATTTTGTCATTCTTTCTACCAGTTTAGCTCAAATGAAAGTAAAATGTTGTTGGCGCAACGTGTTGTGTAGATATTTTAACTTGGTACTCTCTCATCATTTGCCTCAAAATTCATAAAATTTTTTTGTGCATGGTAGTCAATGCAACTTAAGGTATATGCAGGCAGAGCAGCTGAACTCATGCTTCCGCTCATATTTTAGGAATATTACGTCAAGTAGCATTGTGAAAAGTCTTTATCAATTCCTTTCAATGCTTCTCTGGTCAATACTAGAACCAAGACTAATCCGCCTAGCTTTTACAAGTAGTCCATAGGCTAATAAGACTGAATCCATGCAAATGGAAAGGTCTACTAGACAATCATTTCAAGCTTCATGAAAAGTTGCATTGAAAGAGACTAGAAAGTCACTAGGCCCAAGAAATTGTTAATTTTAGGGAGCATGGTGGCAGCGTAGCATAATTTCCTACAGAATGCGCTTAACCTTTTGAAATACTGTATTCATCCTGTCGGAAGGGTTGAGAGTAGGACACATATTTTGTCTCGTTGTACAAAGTTGATTAGAAAAGGTATTGAGCATGCATATATTTTTCTTTGCTTATAAAACTTACAGTTGGGATGGGTTAAAGTTGTAGTTTCAATTCGAGAATGGGCCATGCTCAATTTGGCCATGAAAAGGCCTTGAAAGATAGGGACCATGAAGGTTAAAAATGCGATGAAGAGGCCATTTGGGTACTTCCAATTGCAAAAGTTAAGAGCAAGTAAGGTCAAGGGCGAAAATGCCCTCGTACTATGCAGGACCTCTTGTTTACTAAATTTTACTAAATTGCCCTCGCTTCACTTCGAATCCTTGACATTGGTGAGCAGTAGTCAGCTCGATAGTTTGGAGCCAGTGCAACCTATTTTTGTAAAATTGGGCAATGCGGATTTGGTTATAGGACATTTCCACATCTGAAGGCCATATCTAGAATCACAGCACCTTTGGGGATTCCAAGATGTGTCCGACTATGTGTTAGACACTTGTTAGAAAAGTGAGGAAAAAGGGAAAGAAGAAGGTAAGAAAATTCATAAGCACACGTCGAACTAGATTTGATCATAACCTTTTGAAGTAGTGAGAAGAATAAACTGTAGCTACTCACCTGCTTTGGGGGAAATTGCTGCTTATAGTACACCATGTTTTGAAATAATTTTGATCACAGAAATATAGGGAAATTAGATGGCTTCAACCACAAAACACTGTTTCAAATATAGAGAATGAGCGATCGATGGCGTTTGGAACGCGTTGAATTTTTTATAGCATTCACATGTGAATTTATTTCCTGACTATAGCAATCAGATTATGACGTAATGTAGAATCGGTTGTTCTTCATATCTAAAAAGTTTAAAGTACTTCCTCTTCTTGCATGGATTGGAAAGTACCCTATTTAGACTTATGACTTGCCTCGTTTGCTATAATCGAGTTAGTTTTCGTGACCTGTATGTGGCTTTAGAAAACTAGTTTTCGTGACCTGTATGTGGCTTTAGAAAACTTTTCTCAACTGCCCTTGCCAGGAATTGTGTCTCGATTTCAAATAATTCACACATTTTTTGGATATTTTATGTCGAATTAAGAAATGCTTGAGCCGGCTGACAGAATGACCACTTGAGGTTAAAAAAATTCCAATCATTAATTGGACAAGAGTAGAAAGGAAATAAATACCAGACAGTTTGGTTTTTGCTATCGCAAAGCATTAGGTCGAAACGAAAGCGAACCAATTTTTTGATTATCCTTCCATATGCTCTGCTTTTGAAATTTTTAAATTCCTTAGGAAAAAGAAGTAGTCACGTTGGGAGCGCAAACGTTTCAAGCTTCGCAAATCGACCGATAAATTTTTTGAGTCCAAATGTAAAATCTAGGATGAAATTCTGACGACTGAGACACATTTCATATACAGAACATATTGGATTGGCACGTAAGTTTCGCGTGCTTCGAATAGCCATATTCAATAACGTTTTAAATTTAAATGAATCCAAAATTTTTAATTTTAGAAACAAAAGGTTTTGACGGCTTATGATGGACTTCTAATGTATCATAATGGATTTCTAATGCTTTTCTGACAGCTGCTTTTGCCAACAAACACAGACTTTTAAGTGGCACTCCGGTGCGAAGTGCTGTTCTGTTGACATTGTAGAAAATTATATGAAATGGAAAGCTTCAACTTCAAAATCGTAAATTTATATCTCCATAATTTCCATCATAAGCGAAAATAATGTATCCGTTCAAAAATCCATTTTGCACTTTCCTATTTTTGGATAACATGATGTGTTTTGCACTTTCCAACCAGCGCAACTTTCATGGATCAAAAACGTGATGTGGCTCAGATGTTGCTTTAAGTTCTTGCAATGGCACAAACGGTGAACTAACCTAATTTTGTGGTGGAATTTGAAATCGATATTTTTTTAGTTGATAAGGCAATTTCTGCTCCCTTCTGCGGCTTTTGAATTTGAGATAGTCCCTTTGATTACATTGAAAAGATTTACCATATTTATATACTACAGCAATATTGAAGAGATTCAGAATATTGTATGGTGAGTATGAGGAAATACATTGTTTGACATGCCTTTAGAGTTGAACTTTTCGTCAATTCCCAAGCCTCTGGAAGAAAAACGCCAGAATACAAAAGTAACCAAAATATGTCAGTTTGGAAGAAAGCCTAACTAATATGTACAAAGTAGTAATATTTACGACATAATACTTGATAAGATATCCCGCCTTTTAGTGGAGAATTTTTCCCCAGTGTTTTCGTAACTAAATGCACTAAATATAACAAGGAATTAGTGGGAAAACCCCTCAAGAAATATCCGTGCACATAGTTTATACATATAAGGCAGCCATATTTGCAAGTAAGGGCTCGCTAAAAGTGTGAGGAGTAAAGAAAGCCGGTGGAGAGAAAAATCGAGAGATTTAGAATGCTACACCCCTTTCGCAAGACATCTTCCAAGATCGTAAGAAGAAGATACTAGCAAAATTCCAACCTTGAATGAATCTTATGAGGCAAATGCACTGCATGATCGCAATTTTAACCAATGGCAAAGCCGCTGACGCCCAATAAATTTTATACCTTGATTAGCATTATCTTTCAAAGCAAAACCAACACGATATTGTGAGCTAAGTGCCACTACATTTGCCTAAGCAGCTAAAAATCAGCCATGCAAAATTTTGAGTAATCAGCCTTCTCATCTGGAGACCGACTGGAGAGTGCCACCAGGCAGCAGCTTGTATGATTACTCCATGGCCGAAATTCTCTCAATTCTTGCCCAAACCGTACTCCAAACGAACCAGTTTTGGGATTATTGGCCTGAAGTATGAAGCTAAACATTTTTGCCGTGGATTACTTACTTGCTATACCTTATTAACTTAATAGGTATCCAAATGCAAAGTCTAGGTACCAGCTTTTTTAGGCACTTCCAGTAAACAATGCATTGCAGGAAAAGCGCGATCACTTGTCTGTTGCATTCTATCTCAGTTTCTGTAGGAAAGGTTCTGATACTCCCCTAGCAGGCGTCGTGCACCAAGACAATCTTGGTAGTACCAAATTGTTGAGTCAATTCATAATTTATGCAAGCTATCTAAATTAGCAACTCAATTCGAAACGTTATTTCTGAGCACTGTAAAGACTAATTCAGTCCCTGGTCTTGACAGCTTCAGACTTTGAATACGGAGACTTGCAAGACAAAGGCGTAAATACTGAAACAACTACAAGAAACGATCGTGTAGATGATATAGAAAGCTTTTGAGAAAACTGTTCCGACTTCGAAATCAGTGTTTGGGAGAAGACGTGAGATTTTTCTGCATCAGTTATAAATCCTTAGTATTTTAGAAAGGTTATAAAAGCTAAGAAAACTATGCTCAAGATAGGATAAATATAAAGTCTGCTAGTTTCACATATGGAAAGGAATTGGCTAAAAATGTAACAATGGAGCTTTGTGTTCAACCAAAATGATCACAGCTGGCGCATCGAGAATGAAGGGCGCTCATATGGCATGGTACAGTAAACCTATGAATCATTAAATTGAGGATTTAGAGAAAGCAAATATGAACATGAGGACATACGACATCGAATGGCTCATGCATTTGCCAGTCAAACGATGTGAACGATGTTCAAAGTTGACATTTCTTGATATTGCTGTGTGTATTAGTTCTCAGACTGTTTGGACTTGCTTGGAAATGGTTTCTTTTCACCCTTAACAAAAGTCCTTCAAAAACTTCGTTTGATGAGCGTGGGGAAGAAGACATGAGTAGCTTGTTTATTTGAAAGAGCAATAGGAATTCAAAATATTCACTCTGTGCTTTACTTGGGAGGATGGGTATCTGTGCTTTTTCACAAAGGTTGAAAGTGATTTTTTGGCGTCTTTCCATTCCGCTGAGGTTCCAGTAGACTCGTACTCTCACCCATAACGAACAATTGAAAGGTTGTTAAATGCTTGAGAGAGGCTCTTTTACTAGAATATCCTTTTACCTTGTGTAGTTACGGATACATAAACGCTATTGTGAGAAATGCGCTCTTACGAATTCAAGTTTTTTGACAGCAGCTTCATCAACCCGATATTCTGTTTTTTTTTCGAAAAACGGCATAGTTCGCACTTTGAACGACGACATTTGCTTGTATGTACTAAAAAGCAGCAGAGATCGAAAAAAATCAATGAATCATTTTTGATAATTCTGTGAATTTTTACAGCTTTAAAATTTGCATTTCGTCAGAAAGAAGCTTTTTGATGCAGTTCTTCTATACCACAGCATTCATTGAATCCTGATCTATTCCTTTTACGAAAACTGAACATTTTTGTCATGCAAGAAAGTTGCTTACAAGAGAAGTGTCAGAACTCGCAGTGGCCTTTTGACATGAAATAAGTATCATCTAAAGCAGCTTGAAATGCTGATTCCAAAACAGCCTTTCTTAGCTGCAGAACTAATCTAGGACGAGAGCTATTGTGTTTAATTCGCGGGAAATTTACAACGCTGGGAATAGCCAAAAATTAAAGCGAACATTTTTTCGGGCTCAAACATAGATGAAACAGTCCAACAATGTTTAACGTAATCCTACGCCTTCATCAAAGTCATGCTGTGGTGCTTAAACAAGCAATTGAAAGGTTCCCGTGATCACAGAGTACTTCAAACAATGTAAAATTTAATGTTTAAAATGCCCATAACTCGCGACCCAGAACAGTTCTGCAGCTAAGAATGTTTGTTTTGGAATCAGCATTTCAAGCTGCTTGAGATGGTACCCATCTCATGTCAAAAGGCCACTGCGACTTCTGACACTTCCCTTGTTAGAGAAAACCGCAAGACCATAGAGTTTGCTTGCGTTTGATTCGGGATTCGCAAAGAAAAAAATCAGCTATAAATATTTACAAACGTGAAATTCCTGCATTATATGTTATTAATATTGTTTGTATTTTTTATCGTTTTTTATTTATAATATTTTTTGATAGCCATGGAGCAAAAATAAAAAGAAGAAAGAGAAAACGGAATTAAGATAAAACTCCATGTCAAAACATGGTTTCTCAAAGTGTAAGCGTCCCATAATGTACGCAAAAATGTCTGGAATTTACGATATTTCTAATCGTTTTATCGATCAATAATTTTTTGAGGAGCTAAGCTTGCTTCCCTTCTGCATTTCGCAGGGAGCAAAAATAAAGACATAAAGAGAAAGTTAGATGGAGAAAAAGCAGTGGAAGGCTATATAAATGCTCGTCACATCTTATCATTTTCATCATACATTTGTATGCATCTGAAATCATCTCGAGCGAAACTAAAAAAATAAGACTCTAGCATTCAGAGTATGAGTTTCCTCCTTGCACACTCTTGTTTTTCTTGCAACATTTGTTCTCTATACCTTTCCCCTTCTCCTTTTCCCTCTCTCCATACTAATATTTTCGTGTCTGCGCTGTACCGCATTATGTATTGTGCTCGTGAAAAGCAAACTATGGACAACTCTTCTCATTCTCCGATCACGCCTTTTTCATTGCAGACTATAGAGTCATGTAATCTGCAAGTTTACAAAAAGCAGTGATGCTTACTTTCAAACACACATAATTTGTTGCAAGGACAAATGCAGTCTGCCAACTGCATTAATGCTTGCGTAAACTGTTTTTGAGGATAATTGCTCAGGCAACGGGATAGGATTCAAAAAATGTCTTGGCAAATCTGAGGGACTAGGTTTCATGTGGGGTCTAATTGGTAGATCTCATTTGA